CCCTGTATAGCTATCCTTATCTCAACTAGCAAAAACCCTTGGTCCTTCCTGTTATTGCTTATACTCTCTTCAACAAAATTAGAGATAAGGGCAAAATAGTGTCTGCCTGGTAGGGATTGGTTAGGGTGTGTAAGGGAGGCAGTCGGGGGAAGGGAGGAGGCAGGGGGGAGGTGAAAGGAGGGGAAATGTCTCAAACACTGTATGCACATGAGTTAAAAAAAAAGAAGATAAAATAGTTTTAAAAAGCTGGTATGAGTAACATTCAAATGAAAGTTTTAACTTCAAGAGAAAATTCACAAGGGCGATTTAAAAAAAAAAAAAGGGTGGGGGGGTGGATCTCGGAAGTGAATTGTGTAGTTTGTCTGTCATAGTTTGACCTTGGAGCTCTTGGCTCTGTTCCACATCTGAAAGATTGTGAAGGCAGCCAGTGCTTCTTCACAGAGCAAGGTGAGCTATATTTGTGTGTGTGTGTATGTGTGTGTGTGTGAGAGGATCCTATCAGCAGTGCAATCTCACCATTCGGTCAGTTCTGCCTTGTCTTTGCAGGCCAAGCCCTGCCATTCCCTAGGAAAGTAATTCATCAGGTAATTTATGACTGGATCATCTTGCCAACACCAATTAGTGATGGTGCTGCTCTCTGCAGTAGGCTTAAAAGCTGGACAGATGCTAAAATAGTCATCACTGAAGAGCAGGCAGTGGTGGTAGCAGGCTATGTCACAGCAATGCAACTCAGAAAAGGAAAAGTACATACCCAGACTAGAAAACCACTTGTTTTTTAAAAGAAGGCATATGGAATATTGGATGTGTGGGCAGAAGTGAAAGAGGAACCCAAAAAAAGTAATCCACATGGATAAGTGCCCAAACAGAACAAAAATTTTTGATCCAATTCCAATTTTAAAGTGTCCTTCTGAGGAATGCAGTATGTTTATTAGTCAGTGTGCATTCTGGTTAGAATTGTAGAGGTCAAGTCAGGGGACTTGTGAGGGTGTTTGAAGACCACTGTCTTCGCTTTTGCTTTAGCCACAGTACTCTGCACACATGAGGTCCTTGGGAAATGTTGCTACACATCACCTACCCATTTACCAATCTTTGGGAAGCAGGGAGAGGAAGTCCAAATGAAGAGTGTTGGCAATGATTTTATTGACTGAGTCTTTGGGCGGGGGACACAGACAGGTGCCTAATGACTTCAGGTTAAATCTTTTAAATTCTAGAACTTGTATGATTTCATACATAAATTACAGTGCAGTGTGCATACCTAAGAGAAATCTTGTTTTTTAAAGCAGATGTTTTTGGAGTTTAAAAAAAAAAAAACAAACAAAACCCCTTTAACTATTAATCCCTAAAGGCGGCATTTTGATTTGGCCATGCTGAGGTGAATGTTTCGTTCCAAAAGCAAGATACAAAACCTTCAGCACTCCCCAGGGGGAACTAATCCCATAGAGCCCTGTAAGATTGGTACTTTCTGGAGCAGAGTCCTTTTTAAGGGTGAGCATTAGCAAAAGAAGGCTTGAATGCCCAGTTTAGACCCAAAATGCTGTTGGGGGGCAGCACACATTAAGGAGAATCCTTCACAAGTTTCTGGTTACTCCACAAATCCTTCCAGAGAAAAGGATTTGAGTCACTCATCCAGCCATAAAAACCTTGCAGCTTTCTTGAGTGGAAACAGATTTTTTATTGGGGAGGGATACCATTACTAGAGAAATTTTAATGATTGAAATAATTCCAGCCATATGCAAGAATTGTGACAAAGGTGAGAAAGGAGACCAAGGTGAGAAGGAATAGACAGACAGGGAGTCACACCATGTGGCTATATGAATTCAAATTCCAAGGCCTAACGCTTAAAACTGTACCTCTTGACCTTATATTTCAGATACTCTTAGGCCACCCAGGGATGCAGCCGGTGTCCTATCTAACCCCACAATGACCTGTCTGAAATGAGCATAGCTGAGAATGCTCCATGGTCTAGGACACACACACAAAGCACCATGGATTTTCCCAAGACTTTTATCACATTCTCAGTCTTGGAGTTCTGTGGCCTTGTCTTAGCAGCTCTTTCTTTCCTTGTGCCAAGATCTGGTCTGTGGGAAAGAGCTTTAAAAATAAAATTCTCTATAAGTAGAACAGTAACACTCATTTTTTTAGTCTTCAAAGTGCAGATCAAGTTTCCCATAAGTTGATGTCACTTCCTCCATTTTCAACCTTATCAGTATAGCATATCAATGCCTTCTAACCCCTACAATAACCACCACCAGAAGACTGTGTTGTTGATATTTACACACAGTAGAGATTCAGTGCAGATCTGCTGAATGAACAGGTTGTTATGGGCACAGGGCAAAACAAATAATGGGCATGAGCTATGGGTGTTATAGAACTCTTCTGAGCTAAAATATGTAAGCTGAATTTTCCATGAGCTTAGAAATGGAGTAGAATAAGCACTGTTTTAAACCAATTTTATTCTAACAATAGTCTTGATTTTTGATTGACATATAATACAGGGTTTAATGCAGGTGGGGTAGTATCAGTGTGCTAAATACTTCCTATCTTATTTATAAAAAGGTTTTAGATATTTAAGAATTCATGTGCAGAATGTTGCTCTAAATATATTTTCAATATACTGGTAAAAACCCAAGGCAATATACAGTATAGGAGAAGTAAAGCTTTTAAAATTATTTTATAAAAGTAACTAAATTTTTCCAGTATCTATAAAGGATTGTATATTTTGAGTTGGAGGGAAAATTTTATCAATATTGCTTTCCTATTAAATATATTTCAAAAAAACTTCAGTCAATAGCAAATCATTATCACTAATTTTGTATCTAAGTATTATCTATTTATATTTTTTCAGTGCTTTAATATGCTTATTTCCGAAAGATATTATGTTTAATTGGTCTTTCACAAGCACCACTGAAATTGATGAGCAATAGAAATGAACAGGAAAAATAATTATATTTGAGCATGTGTCTTGGATCAGTATGTCAGCTTTAAAACCATTTGGCTTCTAAACTTAAAACATGTAAGACATATTTATATGCATTTTCCATTTCTCCCTTCAATATCCATTAATCTCAAGACTTACCTTTTGTAAATTTATTAGGGCAAAGAATCTCCAAGTGGGGTCCTAAACTAGTGTTTTCTTTCAAGAAAGGGATTTCATTTTATGTTTTAATTTCTGGCCTTCTGATCTAGGATTTCACATTTAAAAAAAAATCTGACTTTTAGCGCTCATCTAGAATTTTGTCTCTACACCTCCTGATTTTTGTCTTGTAAGTCTAGAGAAGAGAATACAGTAAGAACAGGGTTGTGGAGACTGGTGTAAAGATATATTGCTGACACACAAATTATAAAAGTTGTAGCCTTTGGGTCTTTTAAATCATTAAGTCTTGAGAAAAGATCATAGAAAAGAGATTAAAAAAAAAAAAGACATCTTTAAAAAGGGCTCTTTTTGACCAAGTAAGTTAAAAGTCTTTCTGGAAACTGTGGATCAAGAAGGTAAATACAGATACCCTATCTGAGCAGTTTTTCTAATTCCAAATGACCTTTACTCTAGCACTTGTTTCTGGCTTCATGGGTTTCTTTTGCTTTGGATAGCAAATACTTTTGGAATACAATACAAAAACAAATAGGTGCACACCAAAAAGTCACCTTCAAAGTCTTTGTCTGAAACAGTCTCAGATGAACTCTTTCTAGGATATGCGTATATCCTGGGATTAGGATGTGAGGTAGAGAAAATGGGTAGGATACAGATGAAAGAGAAAATCACAAAATGTTGGTACTTGTTGAAGCTAGAAGGTGATGGGTACCTGTATTTAAATATTAACCTCTTTACTTTTGCAAATATTTGAAATTTTCTACAATTCTGAAAATGCAGACCATTTATGATAAATTGTTTATTTTTTCTGATAGAAATCTTTTTAGTATGTATGGAATAACACCAGTCATTTTGGCTGTAGTTCACTTACTGTTTTCTTACAAGAGATTTCATGTTTTATTCAAAAGGACAGACACAATTGTATATTATACATAGGAACATGTATGCACCCATACTTACATTTTATCACTATTTTCCTAATAGAATTTTTATCTTTAGTATGGACCACCACCATGACCCTTTTACCCTACCCCACAAATTTATTCTCAGTAATGGAAGTGTGTTTGAGTAACTTGTATAATTCATTAGGTAGGCTAATCTTACAGAAAAACTTTATATTGCACTACATATAAAAGCATGAGCTAACTGATGTGAGCTCTTCTGAGTTTTCCACACTATCAAATCTCCTCAAAGAACTTATCTCTAAAGCCCCAGGCCCTTTCAAGTTTATTTTAAAGAGAAAGTCATACATAGGTTTTCTTTTTTTTTTTTTTTTGAGATAGCCTCTCACTATGTAGCTCAGGCTGGCCTACAACACTGGATCCTTCTGCCTCAGAGTGCTGGAATTACAGAAGTGCACTACCTTGCCTCAGTATCTTTTGAACATACTTAAGAAATATGCCAACTTTAGAGCTGGAATAGAAAATAAATGTCCCCATGTCTACAGCTTTATCCCTGCAGCAAAGGCATGAGGAGGTACTATTGCCACCATCATTTAGTTAGGTGGTTCAGGGGAGTTAAAAACTCAGTGACAAAATGGGTTGGCCTAGAACTTGGAGCCAAGTCTGTGTGAACACAAAACCTGCTTTCATAATAATTACAATGTGTATGTACTTTCTAAAGGATTTAAAAAAGACTTATCTAAGGTTCAGGAATACCATTCAGCAAATTTGAGGTCTGAGTTTGTGCTGTTGGTTACATATCCAGTTTTGTTATACCTTAGGAAATAGGGTACATTCAATTTTTTTCCCAGGGAGGCACCCCAAAGGCTCTTGTCCCAAGTGGAAGACTGAAGTGTTTCTTTCTTTTGTTGGGCTCCCCTGTACATATAGGGAAAAGCAAACAATGCTCCCCAGACAGTGGTGAATTTCAGGCAAATATGTTTTAAGGGGAGACCATTAATCGATTTCTGAAATAGTTGAAGTATCTTTTATTATTTTTCCTACTGTTTTGAATATAGTACATTGAAGGCACATACTCTATGGGGGTAGTGTAAACATAAAGAAATGTATTTAATAATGTCTTAAAAATATTTCAATTTTTTATTAAATATTTTATTCAGTTTTAAGATCACAGTTAAAGTACTTTAGCATGTTATACACATGATTTACATGTGCAATTTTTTAGAAATATCAAATTAGGTATAAGATTTTGAAGAAAGAAATTATATAAATGTGTATATCGACTTACTACACATACATCTAAGAAAGCGGTAATTCTGTTGTACCATTAAGTGGAAATCATTTATTACATGGCATGTTTACACCAACTCTAAAGAGAACCAAGCCAATTTCTGAAAGCAAAAAAATGAGCAATTCGATCACGCTGAAACTGTCAACAGACTTAAGACCTGGTGGTCAAATGAAGCTATGGTTAACTTATGACAAGTAAGCAATTCAAACCTAGGAGAAAAGCTCACAATCTGGTATGTGGAATCTCAGGTGGTTTTATTCTCTTTTTGACAAATTCCTGAGAGCAAGAGACTTGATTAGTTCTAATAAAATGAAAAAAAAAAAAAATGTTGCTGAGCAAGTTACTAAGCTCTAGATTGCAAACCTTCCCTACCCTCGGTTCTGCTGCTCTTAGAGCCGAGGCACTAATGTGAGGTGATAGGACACGTGCCCACCCCTTCCAGGGGGCTGCAAAGAGAAACCAGCAACAATTCATGAAACATGCTTGTCTCTGTGATTTAGGTTAGAGCTTGTGAGGTAAGATTTGCGTTGCGGGTGGAAGGGTTTGGAGGCATTTAATTAGAGCCTAGTTATTCAATAACCAATTCTGGCCCAAGCTACCAGGAAATCTTTGGAAGGAGTAGTAATGTTCGCAGGGATTAGTCCTGTGCATAAAAATCAATGAGGGCACAATCAGTTTTGACCAGACTGCCAAGAAAAAAGAAAACAAACAAAACAAAACAAAATCACTGGCCATAGAATGCTTAATTATAAAGTTCCTCCTCTCAATTTATTAGTATAAATCATACTATCACAAATAAAATTTGGCCTGAAGAGGAAACTTTTCTTTCTCAGAAAATGTGTATTTATATATTTGAAGGAACAGGTAGCACAGACAGATGGGGATGCATGAGGAAGTCAAATGTATCTGTCTTATTATTCACTCTTTTGTTGCTTCTTTGTTCTGAAATGTAAGAGGATAATGTCCCCAGTGAAAAGGACAAAATCACTGAATATGGAGTATAATGAACTTAGCAAATCACTTTCAAATTAAAGCAAGGCAGTCTACCAAACCCTGAAGCTTTGCCAGACACATCTGGTTTGATGAACTAACAACTGCTGCTTTTTTTCATTCTACATATGCTGTTAGTGAATCTAAATAAGGTAATTTTTAAAAATTCCCAAACTCAAAACAAGTCCAAATCTCTTTGGGAATGCTTGTATAAACAAAAGTAATATCAATTAGCAATTAGTACACTTTATATAAGGTGCAAACCAAGCACCTATGTGGGGAAAAGCTAAATTTTTATTTCCACCTTGCAGTCACTCTGAATACTTTATAGGTCAAGTGTAATAATAGCATTTGCTTCTACTGACCATTTCAGCAATACATTGTTCTCTCTGAAGAAGGCAGTTTGTGAAGTCAAAACACTGCAGTGGAAAATAGTGGCACTGAAGGTAGAAGCAAAAAAAGCTAAAACTTTTGAAATAGGACTTACTGAAATAACTTTTAAAGCCGAGGTAGCCCATTAGGATTGGCCTTACACGAGGGCTCTGTGGAGCAGTGCAATCAAAGTTGAATCTCCTCAATAGCATCACGTACACCCCAACTTTCCCTTTCCAAACGATGACTCCAGGCCTCCCCCAATTTCTTCCTTTTTTCCAGAGATGACACGGTGGTGCTTCTCCTTTGATGTATGGGTGCTGTCCTCCAGCCTCCAGCTACTGGTCTTCAGAACACTTATTACTCATACAGTAGTTTAGCAGGCAGCATGGTCCCACTGCTTCACATTAATGCCAAATGCCAAGCTTGGAACAGAGCTATTTAGTATACCCCACCCCATCCCACCCTATAAACAAAACCTATCATTCAGTTTTTAGCTAACTCCTGTTCTGTAACAGTTTATAATTTTACATAGGTGCAAACACTTCCATACACCAAGCCAAAGACTGCAGAGTGAAAACAAATTTTTATATGACTTAGCATAGCATCTGACTTAATAAGAGAATGACATTGATTGAACATGTCAGATTCTAAACCACTAGACCAGTTCAGATGCTCCTTTTGTTCATAGTGTTCCATTACTATTTTTTTTCTTTACTAATTGTAATGTCAGGAACTAGAATAATAATGTTAACATGGGAATTATTTCAGTATGGCTTTAGGACATCTGACAGAATAATTTCTAGTATTTGTAGGAAATACAACATTAAGATTTATCCTTCAGAAAGGGGTTTAATGAACTAATTAAAATTTTTGATCTACAATCTAGGGTAATCAAATTTTAGGAAAAGAACCTGTATTTTCAATGTGGCTGTGGGACATTTTTCCTTTTCCTGGTCTCATATACAGTACCTAACAAATAAAAACTTCAAGGAGGTCTTACAGTATTTTTCTTTCACTCAGCTTCTTAAAGCTGCAGTTTTAGTTACTATAATATACTCTTACATACTTCAAAATTACATAGGAAATACCCAGAATAACTAAATAAATAAAAGGCTAAAGAAAACTGGAACAATACTACGTCTCTAACTGAGACGAAATCTTCCACTTCCAGCATTGCAGAGAAGGGCTAGGACAATTTTTTTCAAAAGATTTATATACAGGTTTGAATCCAGAAATTAAGGTTAAAAGCATAAATATCAATACTTTCAACTAAATTCAGAATGGGTTCAGAAAGATATGATACAACAATTTAGAACAAAACAAAGCAGAAGAGCATCAATATTTTGGTTTGCTTGACATATATATAAGGTGCAACAACTTTTTTTCTTGAGGATGCTGTGGGAGAAATGTTAGTGTAGATGGTGTTTGCTGGCAGATTAAAAGTACACAATGTGATTTTCCAAAATAAAAAAGAATGAGAAGTGAAATGAAAAATGATAATGGGGGCACTACATATGAAGTATTTGTGCTAACAAATGTTGTTACCTGAAAACACCAACACTCCTCTCCAGCAGATTCAGAGCATAAGAAGCCCTATTACTGAAATCAAGACTTTACTTAGAGAATCAAGGCAAGTGCCTAAAGAACTATAAAGCTTAGGATTTCTGCTATTCTCAGTGCCTAACTGCTTAAAAATTAAGCATTTCTACAAAAAGGTTTGTTTTAAAGTATCTGAAAACAGTCATATCCAGTAAGTTACCCTTCCACCCCCCCCCCCGCCTAAGGGAAAAGCCACTGAGGTTTAGGAAAAGCAGATCAAGTAAGATATTAATCACATAGAAAAGAGTAATCTTTTGTTTTGCATCTTTTTTAAAAAAAAGGTCCCAGGAATATACAGCAGTCTCTTAAGGAACTCTAGTGAAATATAATCGGAGGACTGAAGGAGGGTGCTCTGGCAAATATAGATCTATTCTAATGTGTTCTATAGAATACCAAGTTAGTACCATTGTCAAGATGCATGTTCTGCACCATATAATTGTTGTTGGTTTTTTATTTTTATTATTTTTTTTTGGATTTTAGCTAATTGTAATTTTTAAATCACTGCTAGCAAGTGGTCCAAAACCCAACAGCCACCAATATCAGGACCCAGGAATTTTCAAACATCCACTTTTTGTTTGGAAATTTAGAAATATTAATAAAACAGCATCACAGTTAAAATAGTATGCTAAAATTGGGGGCTGTTCACTTGATTTATTTCTATGTGAATGGGGTTAAGTCTAACCACCAATTAACCTTATACTAAATCCTACTTCCTCCATCCCCACAATGAATATGTATTTTTGAGGACACCATTCCAATGTTGTGCTGCCATGTTTACCTGCTTTGAAAAAAAAAAAAAAGACCAAGCCCTGTATTGTCTTTTTTCAATCCTGTTAGAATGTTGTACATATTTTCCAGCACCAAAACTGAAGGAAAAGCTACAACCATGAGAAGCTAAACCTAGTTGGTATTAATAGAGTCACTTTTTATATGGCTATTAGGTCAAATTACAATTAGAAAAAAATCATTACAATTCAGTCAAGTATAAATAAGAAAGCTAGATAAAACCATGTAAACTGTCACCACTTAAGAGATCTAATTCAAACTTGAACTAGCACTACCAAAACTCTGCCAGTTTGAAAACCATTAAAAATTATTGCTGGAATCCAATAATTAAAATTTGGTAGTTTGTGCTGCAATGCAAGAGTGGGGAAATACTTTGTGCTATGGAACAAATACCCTGTAAAATCTGTAGCCTCAGACTAGTTTTGATTTATCACTTTGCATCTGTTGCTAGGAAACAAGACACTGTGAACGTTAGGTGGTTAAGTCAATATGTTGAATGTTCTAAGCCAGTTAATCCACTTGGCATATTATGTTTAAAAGCAACAAAACATAAAAAAGGAAACAGAAACTTGCAGGTGGATCTATGACTGAGAGGCCCACCTCAGGCATACCTTCCTAATCATTTACTCAATACCTCCTAAACAACACAAACTTGAAATGGCTCTAAAAACATGCAGTGCCATTTAGGCTGTGCATAGCAATTGCAACCCGTCCAGTCTGTCTGTGATGGATGTAAAAGGTCTGTAGCTCCAAGTCTACATAAAGTGAGTATCTTCAATGTGTTTAGAATAGTGAAGTAATACTAAGGTCACTTCTGAATAATATTTTTGTCTTTTTTTGTTTGTTTGTATGAACGATCCATTGGTCACTTAGACCTCTATGTAAAAATAAAAGAATCCTCAAGGCATGAAAACATCAGTAATCTGTAATCTGAAGAAATCTTCCCCGGTCTGGGAAAATATTTGCCACAATTTGCCCCAAGCAAATTCTTCTTGGTCACTCAAAGCTAAGAAAAAATTCAGATTGTAAGAACTGTAATTCATTCATTCTCATTCATATTCTCTCTCTCTCTCTCTCTCTGCCAACAAACTACCACTCTGGTGGCAAATATAAAAGTGCAGAATATATGGACCACGAGGCCGAGCATACACCGCTAACAATGGTACGTTTGCCTGCCCATGCTGCTTGGGAGTCTCTGGAACAGGCTTTTTTTTTTTTTAATATTTATTCTACAATATAAATGTAGGTATAACCTATTATATAAACCATCTTAGAACTTAAATCTCCATGTACAAAAAAGACTAAGAATATCTAATAATAATTAGTGCAGTGCGTCAGTTTTTTTTTTTGTTTTGTTTTGTTTTGAAAGAATAACTAGGTAATATATGAAACTAGTTTCACACTCTCTTGTGGAAAAGAGATGCTGGATGAGCTACAGTAAAGGCAGCCTTTTACCAAGTTACCACCTATTACTGTCAAAAGCCTTCAATGGAAAGCAGAGCTCCGGGATCATTGTTTCTGCTCAGTATCAAGACAGGTAACATTACCCTCAAAGATTCTGGGTTCCAAAAGAACAAACTGGCCCAGGATGCTAACTTCTGCTTCAAGTGAATCTGGGCCATATAGGGCAACAAGCACTTGTTTGCAGTCTGTATTTTCCACCACATGGACTTACTAGCATCCCTTGGTAAAGACAAGGCTAGGGTAGTAGGTAAAGCACAATGTTTTACAATTTAAAGAGCGCTTCACTGGTCAGCGCAAGAAATAAGTACAGGAGCTTGTGGCATTTCTTTTGGCTGTCCATCATGGGTGAGCGGTGTTGACCTCTGACCTCTGTAAAACAAGAAGGAAAAAATCATTTTCAGGGTATGTTATCAGAGATATGAGAGGACAATGAGTAAATATGGAAAGCAAAAGCTTTTTAATATCTTGTTTAATAGCTACTGCTGACTTGCTACTTATGTTATTTAATGAAACCTGGTTTTTAGGATTTGTTTTTTTGCTATCTTCGTTTTTTTTCTCTCTTCCTCCCTATGATTGCTTATCTCAAATTTTCCTCATACTAACACAACAAGGTGCCCTCTGGCTTGAAACAGCTAACCCCTTCCATTTTGTAGAGATAAAACCTGAAGTACCCATGGATTTGGAGTAACTCCTTAAGAAGTGGAATACTTTCAGTCAAGGACTGAGATTCTGAGATAATAATCTTCCTCTTGATGCACTGATATTAAAAATGACATGTTCCCTTCTTTACTTTTCCTAAAGTAAAAACACTATAAATATGGTGAGTCCCAGGCTCATTTCTTTTTATTTTAAAAATTTTTTAAAATTTCCTTTATTCATATGTGCATACAATGATTGGGTCATTACTCCCTCCTTCCCCCTGCCCCCTCCTTTTCCCCCTACCCCCTCCCTCACGCCCCCACCCCCTCACTTCCAAGCAGGAAGGGCTCATTTCTTAAGAAACATAGTAATATGCTCAATTTAAAACTTAAGGTCAATAAAAGCAATGACTCCCAAAGACAAAGATGGACTCTGACTCTAAAAAAGGAAGGAAAAGTAAACAATGAATGAAGGAACAATGTATACCTCTTATATAAAGAAACTCTAGAAGGTACACAGAGAGAGAGTATATATATAGACGAAAACAAGTACTGACTCTGGATCTTAGATCACAAGAAAATCCAGCCAACTTGAGCCAAAATCAATACACATGGAGGGAGAACTCCAGACAGGGCTAGAATTTACATTACTGGGACTGGACTATGATCAATAGAGCTGATGTTTTCATTTGGCTTCTGTGTAATTAGCAGTAAGATATACAATTTACTTCAGGGTTAAGAGAAAACTGTTTATAATTCTTGGCAGTTTCTACAGAGCTTCTTATTCTAAGACAGAACTAGGCACCTCCCTGATGCTTGCCAACAGGTCTGTCAACCCACTTACTGCTGTGTTCCCTGGTCTGTGGAGCAAAATTAGGCAAGGTGGCAGCAACATTTTCCCTGGTTTCACATTTCAAGACAGTAGTCCTCTTCAGAGTACTTAGAATCATTAGGGGCTGTTTTAAGACTCACCTAATATTAGCTCTACAATTATACCCAAGTTTCTCTTGATGTTAAAAAAAAAAAAAGAAAGAAAAATAATGTATATTATATTTTAATATTTGAAAATTTCAGAATTCTGTGATCACTGAATAGTATGAGATATTTAGGATTCTAATTAGAAAAGCAAAATGTATTAGAATCAAATGTCTGAATTGATTTGCTCATTCATGTGTGACTGTTAAGAACCAACTGTTCAATATGTTCAGCTTTTTCTTCAAATAAGATAACATTAAAATACTATTTTTTACCTTTAAGATTATCCAATAATGTTTAAAGATCCAAAAGAATGTTTGTAAGTATTGGAAAAAGAGAACAAAAGAAACAAAAACCAGAAAAGTAAAAGATGAAAATCAGAAAAAAACAGAGTACAAGAGGGAGAGAGAGAAATTGGGGGTGATATCTTTATGAATGCCTAAGATATGACTGATGCTTGCTTAGGCTGCAAACCAGAGTAAAGAGCAAAGATTCTGGAGTTCAAAGACCTTAGTTCAAATCCTGACTCAGGCAGGAATTAGCTTTGTTCTTGACAAGTTAACCACCTGTACCATCACTAAAATGGGACTACGAAGATCTATGTGGAAGAGCTAGTTCAGGATTAGGTGTAGTGAGATTTCCTGAAATACTTTCAATATGCATACTCTCAAAAAAGGATTGTTCAAGTTTCCTATTTCCTGCATTGTGTAAAACTTGCCTTTCTATGTTGGGTTTCTAAACTTAATGTTAGATTCTTCATGTCAACAGCTCAGGTAATGTCTTTCTACCTCTAACTCTGCAGGTCACCTAGATGATACCTAAGTAATGATTAAATGGGTGCAACCTGAGTACAATACATTAACCTTATAGGAAGAAGGGTGGTTGGCAGGTTCGCTTTAATAGGGCTAAAGTTACAAGTAAGACTCCCTAGGGTGACTTGGATATTACAAATACTGTTTCTTAGCTTGATGTTAAAATTCTAGTAATCAATATTGTTCTTTCCACTGGGAAGTTTAAAAAACAACTTTTTTTTCTAGGCCAACTTCAGCAGTCATACTTCAAGAACTACCTCACTTATTCATTCACACATTCTTTTGCTCATTCATCTACTCACTTAACAGAAACTAATAACATGAAGAATAAAAAGAGTCTTTTGCTTTCAAAATGTACTAGAAAGAGACAGAAGCACCAGCAAATAATTACAACCCAGTGTGGTAGCTGGTATCAGAGAGGTATGCACACAGTGAGAAGTAGCATGAGACACACAAAACGGAGCAGCAGGAGGGAGAAAGGGGGATTAAGTGCAAAGACTGGAATGAGGAGCAGTGGCCCACCTACAAGGAAGGTGGACAAAGCAAGAACGTGTCTCAACTTGTCTCATCTGGAAAGGACAAGGGGTGTGTGTGTGTGTGTGTGTGTGTGTGCGTGCGTGTGTGTGGTGGGGGCAGGAGTTGAGTGTGTGTGCGTGCGTGTGTGTGGTGGGGGCAGGAGTTGATGAGAGTAGAAGGGTTTGCTTCAGCTGTTGCAAACTGGGAGTCAGGGAAAGTTGGTTAAAGGGCAATATGTGACTACAGTGTGTTTAGAAGAGAATGTAGGTAACAGTGAGGTGACTGTGTGGTAGGCCTTTTCTGAGTCCTGAATAATGATCTTCTGAATTCATGTTATCTTTCATTTCCACAATTCACAGAGACATCTAGTAACATTCAAGCAGATATTTTAAACTCTTTTTGCATGTCAAGTGTTTGTCTTCTATACTCAATTTAAAAACTCTTCAAGTGGAGAAGTGTCTATGCATTATCTTCCTCAGAATTTAGCAGACTGTAACAATGTTTATTAACATTTACTTACTATTAAGAACTTTCAGTGTACACAAGAAAAGGAATTTGACTTCTTGGAAATGTCCAGAGGCTATTTGTGAGGAAGCACTAGAACTATAATATGACAGGTAAAAAGCATAAGCAAATAAAGCTCACACAGAAGCCATGAGATTTTTCTTGGCGTAAGAAGGGGCATAAAGCCCTACAGGTGTCTATATGGGTTGTGTAAGGCTTCAAATGCTTTTGTACTAGACTGAAAGTCTAAGAAAGTTACTCATCCATGGGTAATCCACTTGGAATAAAAAATGAAATACCTAGATTTACAAAAGACCTTTCTACTTTCTTGAATATCCATTAAATAGCAGAATACCCAGTTATACACTTAGAACTTAATATACTTTCTGTGGGGCCGTATTGAGTTCAAAGGGTTTTCATGACTATCTCATCTGAAACTTACAGCTTTGTGATTCTTTGGGGATCTCATCACGCACAATGCAAGATGAAAAAACTGAGGTGTACAGAAATAGTTTTGTAGCAAATCACAGAAAATTAAAGAAAAATCCAGGTTTTCTGCCTGCCATGAGTCAGATGTCAAGATATTCCTCCTTAAACCACATTACTCTGACAGTTGGTGTCACCACTGCCACCAACACCATCTTCAGTAGGGATGTTCCCCACGTGTGAGCACTGGAATGTCATGGTCCTCCCACACAACATCTTCATGAACTGAGTGCCACCCACCCCCGTTTTCTAAAAGAAGAAACTGAGGGTAAGAGAGGTGAATGCTCTTGCTCAAGAAGACTGAGCTGGAACTCAGCTCCTGTCGTGATCACACTTAATGGTAGAATAGCATTGCTTCCCTGCTCTCAGGTTTTTATGGAAATCAGATTTATCCACAGGATGATATAATACTCAAAATAAAACACTTAGCTGGCTATGTTCCCTTGTTTTTTCCCATAGTGTTAATTACCACATGTACTTTTCTGACACATCATCTAAACAAAAGTGCCCTTGAACTAAGTTTGAATCTCAGTACGTCATAAAATATGCCACAGATAGTGTTAGAAGCCATGTTACCACTAACCTGTGCACATTCTCCATGGCTGCCACTTCAGCCAGGGCAGCAAGGCTAAAGAACGCAGACACGGCAGGCATTTCTGGAGTACTGCTCCGTGTCTCCTCGACCTCAGTGCTGTGTGCACAATCGTCATTACAGTCTGTCTCGGTTGCTCTGGGGAGACTCCTCTGCAATTGCTCCTTTGGTTTGTCATCTGTAACAAAAGAGAAATTCATCACAAGCGGTAACTGTCTTGAGAGAAGAGATGCTGAGAAAAAGCTGTGCCAGACAAAGTGAAAAGAGCTAGTATTCTTTACTGTTCACTTCTGCTATCCACTGAATAAAACACTTTTATTAAGTTCAATTACAACTTGCCAACTATGGATGGTGCTGAACCCTGAAAGTTGAGCTGAAGAGACACTGTGTTTCATTCAAGGTCACAGAATGGGTCAGTCTTGGAATGAGAAGGAAAAATGAGCCTTTGCCAAAATAAAACCCAAGGGATTTCTGTAGTTGGGGGCCTTTCAAATCCAATCTACTAAACATATCTCATGAAGCTGTGATATGTCTTCCTGTGGCAACTTGGGCATTTTGTGTGATGTGATATTAACCATTAGGATGGACTAATAAATAGGTTAATTAATCCTAGTGAGAACCCATTTTACTATTTTGTTCCAACTGGAAAGAAGACAAAGGGTCTTCTGCTATTTATGAAGAGGAAGATGAAAATACTATGTAACTGTATCTGCTGGAAATGAGAAAAGTTTATTTTGCAGACATTCTAGAAAGAAGGACTTTTTATTTTTTAATACAGGATCTCACTATAAAGCCCAGGCTGGTCAGGAACTTGTGATCCTCTTGCTTCAGCCTCCTGAGTGCTAGGATTATAGACATACCCTACAACACTTTGTTTAGCATGGTTTTTAAATATAGAAAACAAGTGATGTGAATGTCATATATTAGGACATAAAAGTGGAATGATGCCTTCCTACATAAAAGGAAATTATTTCCTTGAATCTTTAATTCTTTGACAAATGAAAATGAATGATATAAAAGAATGAGGATATGACAACCTTTAAAATAAAAGTCACAGAACGGATCCCAGATTGGAAGGGGAAAGGGAGGACATCAAGATTTTAGTCTTCATTCTATTTCTATTTCGCTGAATACATTCAGATGTAAAATTCCAAACTTTGTGAGTTTCATCTCTTATATGAGAGGGTAAAAATTCAGGGTCCTTAATATGCCTTATGGTTCTAACAATCTATATATGCAAAACACAAGAATAAGTGCGTACAATTAACCAATTATTCTCTAATTCTAACTTGTCAATTCATCTCTGTGAAAACCTCAATTAACACAAATTAGATAAAATGAAATGATGAAAGGCAACAGGTTAGATCACTAATGCCATGTGGTATAGTACCCCAAGATTCCTGGGAGGATGTTCAGTATCACTCACTGACCTATCTTTTACCTTGAGCCCCTCAGGTAATTTTTTCTGCGATGAAACTACCAGAAACAACAAATAGGCCACAGGTTATGAATGAAATGAGGAAATTTACTGTTTATTTAGACCAGAGAACTCAAGAAATCCATATACATTTTCAAGCTTCAGTAGTGGTCTGAATTAGCTCTACAGAAAGTGCTGGGTGCATTTTAAGGTTCCTTAATGTACTGGTTTGAATACCCGATAATTTGGTTTGTAGTGACATGAATAGCAAACCATGGAGTAATACAGAAATCAGTAGTTTTAAAAGTCTAGGCTCCTCTGGAATTTACTTCATCAGGACTTTTTTTGTGCATTCTGAGAAGAAGCTGAAAGTCCTAAAAATTACCTTTCCTTTCTAGGAATTCAGATATGCTCTCAGAAATATAACTATGATATTAAAGCATGGAATAAAACATGTATAGAGATATATAGGAAGCTGCAGAACATACCCATTTTTCCATGAGGAACCACAGTTGGCTTACAGTTATTTGTTGGCCAAGGTAGCCACAATGGTCACCTGCTGGTTCTGGTTATCTAGGCTTAAAATTTCCTTTCCTTACCCAAAGTACATCCTGCTGGTGATACTCGGCCATCTGCAGTCCTGACAAGGTGTGTGATCTTGGTTTTCCTTGCTTTTCTCTTCTGGCTGCCCACCAAAGGTTCTTGCATTGTTGTTTGCTCTGGAGTGTTGGGAATGGATAGGGTATTTTTAACCTTATGAACAGGCTCTGTGGTGTTTTTGTCTTCTGAAAATATGGCTGAAATGGGACAAACCATATACAGTTACATACAATAACATAAGGCAATAACACTGCTCTGGAAGAGAAACATTTCTAAATGTCTGACTCATTTGAATGGACAATTTACATTCAGAGTTTTCAAAGTAGTGATGAAAAAAAAAGAAAAAATTCTCTTGATTTGTTTACTACTTATTTATATTTGAGTTGAAAAATTATGTGCAGAGGATTAAGATACCGTTCTCTCTTTTAACATTTTTTAACTGTATGGATTTTGCAGGTTAGTGGGGAATAATGTATGCAAATCTGATCCTAAAGTATCGTAAGTCCTACTGATAATTAGGATCCCTATGTGAGATCCTTTGGGCCAGTTGAGCTGGATAGGAGGGTAAAAGAAGTTTCTTTTCTTATGAGGACAATGAGATTAAGTACGTTTCCTTAATATACATTTATGGTTGGGACATTTGCTTTCAAACACCAGGCTGAACTGATCATTCTGAACTGATCAGAAAAGAACTTGTGAGGCCTGACCTTTTTTTATGAATACTGACTTTTCATTAAGGACAGGACAATATTAAACTCTCCCATTCAATGAATCCAGAACAAGGTCAATGTGCTTAGTGAGATAATTTAATGAAGTCTCACATGTTAGCATGGTTTACAGAGACACTAGTTTTAGGCACCATAATTTTAAAAGAAATAAATCATACCACACTGTTGTATTCTGATTTACTATATATCAAGGGTAAGGAAGTCTGCCACTAAATCCTTTATCTCTGTTTTCAATATGATGGAACTCTTTTGTCTTATATACTTCATCCTTCCTATTCCATTAATTTAAAAGTAAAAAAGGAATATTCATATATGATTTTAGTAAGCATGAAGAAGTATATACTACTTTCATGATTGAAACTTTTTTTTATAATTGATCTTAGCCAAAAGGCCGAGAAATAAATAAACAAATAAATAAATAAAAATTTTTAAAATTCCAGTGGTCTAAGAGTTTTTAGGCAGAGAAAACTTTTCTATTTTTAATCTCCTAGGACAGGCATAGAAATCATTTTTGATCAAGAAAAGGGGGATGTGGGTCAGATAATCAAGGTCTGGCATGACAAATTCCAGGAAAACTAAACATGGAGGATAAATGAAGATACTTATCAGAGGGTGGATCTGAAGGTAGACATTGGCAATAAAGCAATATGTATGTGTGTGTGATATAAATAAAAGCTAAAATAAGAGGAAAATTAGTAAAAACAAACAGCGTTTAAAAAACCATGCTTATTGGTATGAATACTGCATAAGCCTCATTAAAAAATTTAATATATAACTCTAATCAGTTTAGGTGCATTCTTGAGAAAGGAGGGCTATGAATTAATAAGATCTTTTGCCCTGGAAATCATGGTACCCTTGTCTTTGAAAGATATCTGAAAAGAAGAGGCTGATTCTAGGCTTCACATTCTAAAACATATGGAAATAATTTCAATTATATCAAAAGAAGGTACGGGAAACAGAAATCACACCATCATTGTGGCTTGGCCATATATCAGATGACTGGAAAAGGCCTTAAGATAACAATTATTTAAAAATAAAACATACAAAACTTATTTGGCAATGCTCTAAACACCATTTTAAGTAAGTAATTAGCAATAAGGAAAACCCAGGCTCCTTTTAAATTGCAGATATATTCCCAGATTCACAACAATGGAATAATTTTAATCATGCCAGTTTTTTAGTCCTAGAATATTTATACTTTGTCATTTATCTTAACATAAGTCAATGGTAGGATGTATTTTTTTTTATACATTTAAAATTCAGTAAAAGCTTTAAGCAAAATAAAGGACAATTTGGTTAGAAATACTTCAAAAAAAGTTCCATGACTCTGTTTTTACCTTCAAAGTTTCTTATCAGTATAAAGAAGCCAAAAATCTGAATTTACAATGAACATTAAATAACCTCTGTGGCACATTCATAAGCTTCAACTTTTTAGCTTCTTACATAGATTCATCAGTTGCCCCTTCTAACTACAAAGTTTTGTTCACCTCTCCAATATGATCACTATAGAAGGACATTCAAAAGGAATATTAAGCTCTCTCTTTCCTCTTGCCAGAAAAATCCACAACTTGTAGAAAGGACTCCAAAGCAGTATCCAAAAAAATAAAAGATATATTACATCAGAAGAAAAAGCAAGGAAAAGAAAAGATATGAATACCAGAAAACGGTCAAGTATTTTGGGAAAGATGACCTGATTTTCATGGAGAGACTATGGGGTTATGAAAATAATTGTCATAGAGATGGCATTCTATTTATGAATTTGTATTTTATTAACGGTGGGACCATGGGTCTCAGTTTCTTCAGGTAAAGATGGGACTGAACTAGATTAGCTCTAACGGAGTCACTCTGCCCTAAAATAATGTTGGTTTTGCCACACAATCTACAATCAGCATCCTAGCCAGAGAAAAACAAGCCTCTAGTCATCTTCAGAGTTCCAAGGCTGGGGAAGAGTACTGCCTTGACTAGCACTATTTTCTTGGTTTTGTTTTTCATTGGTGAACTGATGAATGGTTCTATTTTTATTTGATGGTTGTTCTTTTTCTAGTTTGTTCCAGATAGATTGGTAAAGACACAAAATGAAGCAAAAGGCATGGTTGCAAACAATTTAGGCCCAAAGGGAGACTGGAAAAATACAGAAAGATCAGAAATCAGTAGACAAGAACAGGGAGTTCAAAGACTAGTTCATCTGCTGAAATGCATCAGCAACACTCAAGTTATAGATGTAAGTATACTGAGAAACAGTTGAGGGATAAATCAGGTAGTGGACTAAATGGAAGAGGTAAGAAAGAATACATTGAAAGTTCTCATAAGTCTCCAGAGCAGGTAAGAAGTCTTCTCTAAATCTATTAATGTAGAAGTGATCATGGTCCTGCAGATCATTCACATTTGAAAAAGGTAAAGAATATGATCTTACTAGAGTTTAGAAGATGAGGTTAAGAGTCTTGTCCCATGCTTTGACACAAGGGTTAACCCCAGAACATACAATTCTGTTTGGTGGCCTACACAGGAAACAGCCTTCAGGGGAGCCTTTAGAAATAACATTTTCCTAAGATAGAGGAATTGGGAAAGGTAAGTAAGGCTGAGTCAAGGAAATAGCTTTCTGGGACAAAATAGTAGATTGAATTCAGCCATATTGAACAAAAGCAAAGCAAACAAAAGACTAGGTAGTATGGAACATGAAATAATAACAAAAAGCCTTTCTTCCCCTCTTCAAACTAAAGGAAATGTGAGAAAAGAAAGGCTTTGTCATCCAAAAGCAAATTAGTCATCTCTTTTGGCTTTTAAGTGAACATACAAAACTGCCCAAGCACTCTGGAACAAGTCCACAGGGCTAGTTTTTATACTCAACAATAACCATAACACACGTGGAGCATAACATCTAAGAGTGACAATGTGAGCTCACTCTTGGAACATTAGGAATGTGGCAATAAGAGTTTGTCTTGTTTTCTAAACTCTATTTCCAAAATGTGGAGCAACTTTTTTGGAAAAACAGCACTGCACTTGGACTGAACCCCAAGAGGTAACTAAAATCATGAATTCACTTTCCAACTGAGGGGATTCAAAGTTACACTGAAATTATAGCCAGATCAAAAATTTCATTGCCTTTGGCTGGTCTCCTATAAGCTGGTCTCCATGAGCAGTCAGATGAGCCTTATCTAAGATCTTGGGAGACTTTGCTGAAGTTACATGGCAACTATTTCAAACTTGGAAAAGGAGATCAAGTTAGACTGGGTACTGCTGTGAATCATGTTTAAAAGTACAACCTAGGATCTTCACCAGACCCCTGTAGTAATTACGTATATATATATATTGCAAAGAAATTACTCTGATAGAGATTTCTACAGTGAGGCTTTTGGTTTGGTTTTGTTTGGTAAGATACCATTTGAATTTTCCGCATCTGAACCAAATGAGGGCTAAAAGTCTATAGATAAGTCTGAAAAACTGAAATAACGGTGGCCAAAATGCTTAAGTGGAGACAACCCTGGCTCCTTCCTTCTTTCTTCTGTTGGCTGAGCTTCAATTCCTTACCATGTTTTTGGAGCTAATAAACTCCCTTAATTCAATGGGGCTGCTATTAAGATGAAAATAAAAAATATATATGTAAAAGCCCTCTGTAGTCCATGAAGTGTTATTAAGCATTAACTATCATCATAACATCATTATTATTGCCATTAAGAACACTTTAGCTTAAGTATGAGACTATAATACCATGTGCCATGGAAAGATAAGCACAGTGGGAGAGGTAGGTCTTTGTTTATCCAAAAATTTTACCTTTAATTCTAGGTCATAGGCAATCTTTTCTTTCTTAAACCATTTTGGATATGCAAACGTTTTAGGAAGTAGTTTTGCCATTTTGAATTTTAAAAGCATAAGAAAAAACATTTAAACAGATTATAAATTTAGAATTTAAACCTGAGATATATTACTATGAATCTAAAGATTCCTAATTATTTTTTTGAAAAAAAATTACAAAGGCAATTATGCACAGGGTATTGTAAAGAACGCATAATGAACTTTAAGTCACCTACTTTAACCGAATTCAGGAACAGCTGAATAGCTGCACAGCCTCCACTGAATCAATATTTCTATTGGACACATTAGCTACAAGCAATTCCCGTCTTGCCTATAGGCAGTATGGTTCACACAAATTAAAAACTATCCTGTATTATGTTTTTCATTTTCTGACCCTATACATTTATATCCTCCAAAGCAAGTTCTTTTTTTTTTTTTTTTTTCGCTTCCCTTTTTGGTGGTACTGGAGTTTGAACTCAGGGCCTTGTGCTTGCTAGACAGGCTCTCTACCATCTGAGCCATAACCTCAGTCCTACAAGGCAAAGTTTTAATAAGCAGGGATATGGCCATAGGTGACAGAGGATAAAGTAAAAGGGCCTAGATAATTTACAAAGCAGAGTTACCACTTGGACAAGTTAATTTTAGGGATGGTATCAAAATAAATAACCAAAAAAGGTCATATTAAATTACTAGTAATTTTCTGATGTCCAAATTGGTTCCATTTTTTCCTGGCTACATAAAATGAGTTTGCACCCTACACTAAATAAAGGACATGCATCTTCCAGTGCATGTTCTCTAAAGTTTTGTTCCATATACATTAATACAGTTTTCTATTAAACTCTTGGGACTGACTATAAGACTCAAAACTGATTTACTTTTCTTTTCTGCCATCCCCTCAAATACAGAAAATTAGAATATTTTGCTTCTAGCATCACACCACACATTTAAGACACCACAGTAACAAAGTCAGCAAGTGTTAGAGGGTAATGGAATTTACAATTTAGTATTACTACATGTTATCATACACTCAAGCCCTGAACACATGAATCACACTTAGCACAAGTGTGAGGTAAATCCTAGTGCGATTAAGTGATTTGTTCCACTGAAAAATGTTAATTAGTGGCAGATCTGAGGACTCAGATCTCCTAACTTGTAGGTTAGTGATTGTTCCCATCAACTACATGTGATCTGATACCTCAGTAGAGTTTTTAGTGTCCAAAAAAAAAAAAAAGTATTTAGAAGAGGTTCATCTCAAGTAAAGACTAACGCCTTAAATGTCTTCAGATTCCTCTGATAAGTTATCAGTGTCTTATATTTATCAAATCTGTGCAGAATATATTTTTAAAATATATAAGAGCTAACATTTCAACTTGGGCATATTAGAATTTAGTACTGGGAAAATCATAATTCATATTTTGTTTTGCCTGCACTTAGGTAGAAATAATACTCTACAAAAGTTGTGAATTGAAATAACAGGTCAGAAAGCAGATATACTGCTGGCATTTTTTTATAAAAGTAAAGTGAATCGAAAGCAGACATGGCTCTTGGATACTGTGCCTACCAAACCAAAAAAAAACAATGATTAATATTAACTCAAACTTGGATGTTTTTGATTAAAAAAAAAAAAGAGTATTTCTGGTAAGTGATTTAGGCCAAATGGTATTTGATTCTTTCCCCTTCCTTTTTAGTAACAGAAGAAGAGTATATTTGACTTGATCAACTTAGTAGGTTGATCATTACTGTATTACAACAGGGTGGACTGATCAACTTCCCTTTTTGGACCTAAGAAATCACAGGGTCCAAACTGGATGATCTCTAAGATTCCTTCTAGTTTTCAAATAATTTCTAAGTAAGCACTACAAAAATGTTCGGGTCTTTTACAATCTCTGCAATGAAAGGAAGTCAATGGGAAAAAGGGTAGAATGGTCACCTAATTACCATAGAAATTAGCACTTGCCTAAGGTTCAATATTTAATAGCAATTAAAGGCACAAATAAATACAACTGTAAGAAGTTTCAAAATAAAATCTGCACTAGGACCTATAACATGATTGGTTAATAATGAATTTTTCTTTGGCTATACATGTGCTTCAGGGACATTCTATTTTAACATATTTAGAGGTAATAAGAAATGGGAAAGAGAAAACATTAAGGTCAGAAATCACTTCCATAGGCCTGCCCAAGCCCAGCCAATCAGGCGAGCCCTCTAGTGCCCTATTCTGACCTCCATGAGCATAAACACTTGCCTGCCATAGAATAGAAATGTGAATTACAATGCTATACATATTTAAATTGTGAAAAACTCAAATATCCAGCTAATATGATCCAAAGATAACCAATTCTCTTTTAACAAATCAAATGCTTTGATACACTGTCTGATCCTTGGCAGGACCCCCAAGATACTACTTTTGATTTGAAAATTAAAAATAAACTGTAACACACAGATGCTGTTGGTTGAGCCTTCTGTAAAACTATACCTTTTTTAAGTCTGTAAAGATTATGCCATTTTTAGCTTAGACTACCTGTGATTAAGTTATATTGCTTCTTTTACCTTCTGTAGGGTGAATCGCTTCCAAGAAGAATTGCTTATGTGACCATTTATCCCCACTTCCTAAAAACAATGACAGAAAAGGAAAGAGCAGTGAAACTCTACCGTTAGTATAGATAGAAATGCTAACATAAACAAGACAATGTTCAAAATAACTTAAATATGAAACACAACACACATAAAATGGAATTTAATTTCAATTATCTTATTCTTCAAACACTTTCTCAACTAAACTAGTGAGGCTACACAGGAAATGGATTAAAATAAACATCTGTGTATTTTATGAAAAATATTGCTGGGTAACTTATCCAACTTTAATCAAGATTATTTGAAGCTCAGCAAAAGGGAATGACAAAAGCTGACATTTTACCTAAAGAATAATGTTTCTTCACTAGACGCAAGAGGAAAAAATAGTATCAATACAGAAAACAAAAATAAGCTGAAGTGGAGGTAAAAGCCCAAATTAAGTAAAATGTTACATACAGGCATGTATATGTGGATATGCCTATGTGTAGAAGACAGCTGTGTTTAAAGCTTCATTCAAGAAACATGACATAATTCACATCTGGCCATGCAAACAGGCATCAAATGAATAGGTTTATGGTAGTTGCAACACTGACATGCAGGCAGATACTACAGAAAGCCCAACTTCCTGAACATGAGGCTGCACAAAGCCAGATGGAAGATTTATCTTTATATGTAAGAATAAGAGTCCTGAACTGTGAGAAAAAAGAGAACTTAAGATGAACCCTGAAGAGGTTCAAGGGCCCATCAAGATCCTAACAACGAGATGGATGTTCAGAGGAAAAGAAGGGTAGTGTCCTTACAGAACAACAATTTTGTTACTGAAGAGGTAGGGAGTAGAGTCCAATATACAATGAAGTATATAGGTGAGGGGAAAAGTAAGTTACAACTTAGAAGTGGAGAAAAAGATCCACAAGAATCCCCAAGTGTCAGCAAAAGTATAGAAATAGTGGGACTTTCACATGATTATGATACTGTAAGATTTCAGGTAGTAAATGTGGCCATGGTCTGAAGGGATGCCAAATATAAGGAAAAAAAAGAATTGCCAAAGAAAAATAATTAGTAAGAGACCAAGAAGACTAAATTATAAAATGTGCTAAATGTACATGATGAGCAGCAATTTTAGAATTCTGATGGAACTCTGATCACAGAGATGGATATTCATTTTAATAGGAATCTAAGAGATTTGCAATTAGCTGCAGAGTCTAGAAAGGATGAAAACGCTGCATTAGGAGTTGATAGCACTGAAGCAAGCAGGGAGGAAAAGGTAAAAGCAGTGCATGGAAGTATTGCTCAAAGAAGAGTTCACAATGAAGGTATGATCAAGAAAAACCTTAATGGAGGATGGAAGGCACCAATACCTTTTTCTGGAACATTAGGCTTCTCCTTTTTGTGCTTATATTTGCTGACAATTTTGTGGAATAAGTTCTTTTTCTGAGACTGGAAAGGACCTACAGACAATATTAATATAAATATATTTTAAGTTCACAATGTTGCACAAAACAATACTGCGGTGTTTTTAAACAATGACACCCTCCTCCCTCCTGTGGAATGAGTAAATTGAGTTGCAAGAAAGGTCTTCTTGCATCTTTACTTTTCTGGCTGGTGCTCAGTCCCTTCTGATAGGCTTATTTCAAAGACAGTAAGTTTTTCCTCAGAGATGTATTGGCAGAAGCCTCCATTAGGACTGGGACTCCCTAGGTGGAAACTGCAGATTTAGTGGGTACAAACAAACTGCAACCAGTAACAGCAGAGTGGTGGTAGCCTATAATAGAGATTTTATTCCACTTAAATGCCATGAAGGAAAGGAAGACACGTGCATTTCATTTGGCCTAAGAAATTATTTCCTACGAAACTGATTTCACAAGGACAGCACTTTCAGGATTATGGCTGATCTGAGAGCATTAGCCATCTTTTTGGCCTTTTCTCAGGCTGCTCTAGGAATTAAAAAAAAAGTTTAAAAGCAGAAAAATATTTGTTAAACTTTTTTCTGCATGGGAGGGTGAGAGGTCTCAGATTCTATCTTAGTTGTCTCAGATAAAAATAGAATTACATTTTTTTTAGTTAGTAATCAGAAATACCAATAAATGTGGTTGTTTTCCCAAAGTAGGTGGCTTTCCATACTTTGTGGATATTCCCATGTAATAATTTTAGAGCTTGCTTCCTCATCTGAAAATGGGGATCACTGAAGTACCTAAGTCACAGGGTTGGTGTAAGAATTAAAATATCAGAAGAATCACAAGCTGCATTTCCCATCTAACAGTCTGCAATGTGTTCTGCCTTCTGGCTGGACATGGACTATCTATGCTGTTGTCTAGTCAGTTCTTCTACCTGTACGCTAGCCCATCATCCCTCTCAAGTGGGCCATTCCATCAGTGTACAAACATATGCTACTTTATTCAACTTAAAAAAGGGGGGGGCTTCTGTCTAAAATTCCTGCACATCAGTTATTGCCTCAGTTCTCTGTTTCCTCTGTAGCAAAATTCCCCTCAGAAGGGCTGTCTACACTCACTGTCTATAATTTCTCACCTTCAATTTCTTATTTAGCTATTCCAACTAGGTTTCTCCCCTGCCACTTCAGTAAACCTATTTTTCTCACTGTCATCAACAACTCCATTCTGTCCATCCTTATCGTATGGGGCTTATCGGCATCTTATGATGTGGCAATACACTACAGCCACATTCTCAGTCTGAATGTTTTCTTCACTGAGCTTCTAAGATAGGGCCTTCTATTGTTTTCCCTCACTGATCTTTTCCTCTTTGTCTCCTTTACTTCCTCTTCTTTTCCCAGCTATCTTTATTTTGGGTTGCCACTGACTTTGTCCTTGTCCTCTTCTCTATTTATTCTCATTCCTTTGGTACTTACTTCTAGTTTCAGAACTTTAAATACTAGCTACAGGCTGATGACTCACAAACACATCATTCCAGCCAGGCTTCTCCTATTCTGTGTATTTGAAAAGCCAGCAATCTTACAATATCTTGCAAGGAGTTATGTGATTCAGAGACCCATTGTGTCTGTAACCTCATATTCTTCATTTCTCTCAAGCTGCACTAGCCTGTTCCCTGGACATGTAGCCTTACTCTGCTGCTATGACCTTTGTGTCAGCTGCTATCTCTACCTGGAAAATGCTCCTCCCTATCCCGATAGCCCCACGGCTAACTTCTTTACCTTCCTTAAAGCTTTGTTCAAGTATCTCCAGACCACCTATGTAAAACTGCAACCTAACCCCATTCCTTTTACTTGTGATCTTCCTTTCCCTATAAACGTATTATTTTAACTGAGTTTTAGGAAAAAAGCTATATTGGAACATAATTCACATACCAAACAATTCACCCATTTAAAGTGTATAATTCAATGTTTTTAGTCAGAGATACTTGCAACCATCACCAATTTTGAAACACTTCATCACCTCAAAAGTAAATCTCATACTTTTTAGCTACCACCCCCCTATACCTAAGCAATCACTAATCTATCTCTATAGATTTTATACATTATGGAAATTTTATATAATTGATATTATGGAATTTAGCATAATTTTTTCAAGGCTCACCCATGCTGTAATTACCATGTAGCAGAATGAATAATATTTCAGTATATGAATACAACACACATCTTTTTGCCTGGGGTTGGCCTCAGACTGTGATGCTCCTATTGATGGCCTTCTAAACAGCTGGGATCACAGGCTTGTGCTATAACACCCAGATAATTTTTTTACCTGGGCTGGCTTGGAACTACAACTGTCGTGATCTCCGCCTCCTGAGTAGCTAGGATTACAGGTATGAGCCACCATGTGTGGCACATAATAAACTATTGTGTGGATGTATGTGTCTTTTCTCTGGGGTATATACCTAGGAATGAAATTGCTGGGTCATACGGTTAACTCTATATTACTACCAGATTACCTAATAAAGCAAGTGCACCATTTTACATTCCCATTAGCAGTGCATAAGGGTTTTAATTCTTCAACAACCATACTAATATTTTTATTATCTGCCTTTTTGACTATAGTCATTATAAGGATGTAAAATGGTATCTTTCTCATTGTGAGTTTTTTTTTTGATTGTTTTTGGCAGTATGAAGTTTTGAACTCAGGGCCTCTACCACTTGAGCCACATCCACAGCCCTCTTTTGCTTTATTTTTCAGATAGTCTTGTGCTTTTGCCTGGAGCTAGCCTCAATGATCCTCCTAACCTCTGTTTTTTAAAGTAGCTGGTATTATAAGCATGCACCACCATGCCTGGCTTGATTTTTGAGACAGTCTCACTAATTTTTGCCCAGGAGGGCCTCAAACTCATGATCCTCCTTGTCTCTGACTCCTAAGTAGCTGGGATTACAATTATCTGCCCAAATTTATTTATTTATTTTGGTGGGACTGGTATTTCAACTCAGCTTTGTGACTGCAAAGTAGGTGCTCTACCACTTTGAGCCACTGCCCTTTTTTTTTTGTGGTACTGGGGTTTGAACTCAGCACATACACCTTGAGCCACTCCGCCAGTCCTTTTTTGTGATGGGTTTTTTTGAGATAGGGTCTCACGAAGTATTTGCGTGGGCCAGCTTCAAATTGCAATCTTCCTGATCTCTGCCTCCTGAGTAGCTAGGATTACAGGCGTGAGCCACCATCGCCTGGCTCCCTTTCCATTTTTAATTGTTTTTTTTCTCCCACTGTTGGGTTTTAATAGTTATTTATGTATTTTAGATTAAAATATCTTATCAGATATGTAATATGCAAATATTTTTTCACATTTAAGAAGTGTCTTTTCACTTTCTTGGCAGTGTCCTTTGAAGCATACGTGTTTTAAATGTTTGAAATAGTCTAATTTATATATTTTGTCTCGTTGCTTAGTTTTTGATGTCCTAACTAAGCATTCATTGCCAAGGTGAAATTATGCTTTACCCCTGTTTTCTTTGAAAAGTTTTAGGTCTTTGATTGATCTTAAGACATTTAAGTCCTTTGATTCATTTTAAGTTAAATTTGGTATGTTGGATAAGGCAAGAAAGGGTCTAACTTCACTTTTACATGCATTCTTTCCCACTGAGTAGTCTTATCATCCTTGTTGACAGTAAGTTGACCAACAATATATCGGTTTATTTTTTGGACATTCAAGTCTATTTCATTGATCTACATCTGTTTTTATGCCAGTATAACACATTTTGATTACTATTGTTTTGTCATCAGTTTTGAAATCAACAGTTTTTTTCTTTTTTAGATATTCTGAATATCTTGCAACTCCGTATTATTCATATGCTCATTTCCTGTCTTTAAGCATATTCCATACTTTGCATATTATAGGCTTGTACATTGTCTTTTTCTCCCAGTATAATGTAACCTCCATGGCAGTAGGGTTTTTTTTTTGCTTTCATTCACAGTATAATCACAGTGCTTAGAACTGTGAAACAAATACTTATTTCATGAATAAATAAATTTCTTAAAGCACTGCTTGATACAAGTGTGTAAAAATTATATTTGTTGCTGTAATTACTTATACCATAAATCTGTGCAAGCTTTTTTTTTTATGACTACACTAAGACAGTCTTCTAAATAACCAATAACAAACACATATGGATTAGTTGGTGGTTGTTCGAAAAGAAAATAGAAAGTGCTTCCAAGTTTGCTTCTTTGAAAAAAAGTGCACAAAGAAAATAAATCTGACAAGTAAAACGAAAGTATGTTATGTGTACATCTACACTAATATTATAGGTGTTCTCTATAATCCATTTTTAATCAGTGTTCCATGTATTTTATAAAACCTAGGCAACTGCTGGTTGGTGTATCTGAATGACATATAGACAATCATGGAAGAAAAAGTAGGAAAGAACAGAAAAACAATTCTAAGACTTGTTAGGATCATAAAGATCTAGTGATTTACCTGTAGGAAAATAATTTAATAATAATAAGGCATTGGTTCACAGGGAGAATTATGTAAAAAAGTGATTTAAGGAAGCAAATTGATTTGACATAGGGAATGGGTCAGAAAAGAAGAAACGGATGTATCTTTCAGACCCAGTCACAGTGAAAGCACAAGTTTAGGACAAAGCTAAAGACAGAGTTTGTTAATATTAACAGTGTGCATGCAGAGTGGGAATAAGACTATCTAGAGTGATTTTATACATAGAATTTCTTCTGTAAACTTACATTTATTTCTTTGCTCCAATCCAATCCCTAAACTAGCTATAAAATACTGTAAGCAAATGACAATCTCTTCAATGAAAAGTGACAAACTTGGAAAGAAAGTAATAAATAAGATCTAATCATAGTCACCGAAAAGCAGCAATTTTGTAGTCAATAAATGGAAAATTTAATTTATGCTTATAGCATGGTACATATGTTTGACATGTTGCCTAAAGAAAATAAAGCCAAAATTTATAATAAATAGTGAACATAGGGAAATTCGCTACTTTTTTTTCCTTTGTTACATTAACACAGAAGTATCCATGGTTGGAGGAAAAAGGTAGGAAATAAAAAGCAGAAAAAAGAGTTTTAGAAGGGATCATTCAGAAAACAAATAATTGACAATTGCTCTTTATTATATACTATCCCATTTCTTTCCCTACCAATTTCTCAAGATAACATCTGCATCAACTTCAAATTCCTTAAGACAAAATCACTTGCTGGTAAGCAAAGTGGCTTAGATCTCCATTTGAATTTTGGTAGAATGGCCTATATTCTGAGGGTATAAATCTCCAGCTATGGTTGGGTGAAAAACAAAACAAAACAAAACAACCCTGCAGGGCCCAACCACAAGCCAAGGGAATAAAAAGGTTGTCATAACAGATATCAATAACAACTATTATCTTCAACTATAATCTTCAAAGTTTGCTGAAAAATGGACATTTTGAGGGTAAGCAATAGTGACACAGAAACCATTTCAGTGTTAATGTGGTATGATAATTACTGAAGGTCAGCAGAAAAAGTGAATTAAGTGAACCTACTCTCCAGAACTGTTGTCAAAAATAAATGCCAGGCATACTTCCAATGGTAGTGGCTTTTCCCAAGTTCTATAGTTTTTTTGTTTTAAAGCTATAAAAAGAGGAAGGACTTTACCCTAAGATTAGTGCATTTTTGTATTGGACACATAAGTAATGAGTAATTAATGAATCAAATAATTTATTTACAGCAATTTATATCAAAGTGCTCCAGCTGCATATCTTGATGTGAATAAGTCCTCAGTAAGATGCACTAGCAATCAAGTTAACATTCATTAAAGGTGAGGAGCTACCTCCTTGGGCTGGACATGCAATCTTTGTTAAGGAACTCAAGATTACATCAGGTATATCTTTTTATATCTGTAAACATACTGTCACCATGTTCCTGAAAAGACTTGATGACAATGAAGACTCTCAACACAGTTCTAGGGAACAATACAGAGTTCTGCCTAACCCAGAAGCTATCACTTACGAACAGGAAAGGGTGGCCTGGCTATCATCAAACCTAAGTTCTCTCAGACTGAAAGTATCTTCAGGTTGGCTCAACCCCAGAGGTTTATTTTAATTAATAGCTTCTTTCATGATTGTTGTGATTTTAAAAAACCCTCAAATACTTAACATATTTTTGTTTTTTGTTGTGCTAGGGATTTAACCTAGGACCTTATGCATGCTAAGCAGGTGCTCTACCACTGAACGACATCACCAGCTACCCCCTTAATCATTTTTAATTTCAATCTTAAAATAAAAAGGAACAACAGTATGTTTGACAAGTGCCAAAGAATATATAAAGACAGAATGAACAGAGACAGACAGTGAAGTCCAGGTCAAGATGAGGCATAAAACATTCTAAAATAGCCCAAATTGAACTCAATTTGCTTTTTCTCAAAGACCCTACTTCCATTCTAAATTACTATTTTGCCAAGAACTCTGACTTCTGGGGCTTTTGCAAACAATGCTTAATACATTGGCAGTTAACATAAAATAATGTACCAAAACAAATCTTTTAGGAAGTTACAGTTAAACTCAGACTCATAAGCTTTCACTTAAAAACACAAAGAACTGAGAGCGAGAGAACTTAGAAAATGATGTCAGATTGGGCTACTTCACCTGAACTCTATTGTGAGTTAGATGGATTATAATTAACTGGATAGTTTTGTTCTTAAAAGCAAAGGGAAATTCTACTTTTAAAACATTATGCTCTTGTTTGATACAAGATCTGTTATGCAGACATAAGGATAGGGGTAGAAATAATTGGAAGACAATGGGAAATGGAAAGAGATTAACATGGAAAAACAAATATAAATACAATGATCAATGGGAAAATAGAGGAGTAAACCCAAGCAGGTACTATGATTCTGAGATATATAACTATAAAAGTGTAAATAATAATTTTTTCTAGAAATTAATTTCAGAAAAATTCTACACACTTTACATAACTTGAACTACGTAAAAAAGGTATCAAGTCAGGAAAAAACATAATGAATGCTGAATGACAACAAATATAGGAGAAAATAAAATATAGATAAATGGCAAATTGTTGGGGGGAAAGCGAGTTTTCGAGTTAATGATCTCATATACAGTATTTTGAATGATTCATTATGCAAAGGTGAAAAGGGTCCAGAGTCTAAGAAAACAATCTCCTCTATTTTAAAGATCAGGTAATTATAGCACAGATGGTATGATAATTTCATAAATAACTTGTAATCTAGTATATTGGTGCTGCTAATGCAAATTACAAATCAGTCACAAATACTATTTCTTTATGTATTTGTGACTAAACAGACACTAAATCATTTAATTGATGCTTTATTTTAATTTCACTTTGTTTTATGAAATGGTATGCAGAGAAAAATCTAAAGTCTTAGAAGACGTCTCACATATGTAATTTATAAGAACCACTGATTTGTGGCCTAAGAGGCATAATGACAGAGTAAAAATGATGTTATATGAAGCATAATCTAAAGCTCCAAAAAGCTATTTCACATCAAAAGAAATACTAGTAATCTCAGCTGGAAGAGGAAAATCATATAATAGACAACTAAGAACGAAAAGAAGGTTTCATGAAAATAGATCCTAACTTCAGGGTTTTATAGCTTTACAAAAATAAATCTATTGTTACATTCCCTGATAGGTAATTTGGTCAGCTTCAGAGCTGTGAAACAAATGTCTTGAACTGTAAGGAGTAGGATAAAGAATGCATCTTGTACATCAAACAATTAAGTTCCATCTTACTGGCTTGTCAGGTATTTATCAGCAACTTTAAATCCAAGAATTATGGGAGCTCAAGATAGCTGGCATTTTTGGGTTCATGGACACTTTGTCTATTCCTAAAAATCTCCAGGGCACAGAGACTGTCATTTCATCTGGTAATCCATTATAGCACTCAGCAACCTACCCATCAACAAGTATACTTTATTTCTTCCCTTATCCATCTTGGAAGATCTTGATACAATGCCTTTTATTTTCCCCAACTGAGCAAACTTGGTGATGCAACATGTTTTTTTTTAGTTCTTCAGTCATTACACTTGTTTTTATTACCCACAGAGGAAAACAGTTAATTCTAAAATGGCTTTTATGTACCTTCCTGCCTTTATAATTATGAAGGAGGAATTTTCATAAGCCTTTCAATAATGTCCTGAGATATAGATCATAAGGTGAATCTCTTTGGCTGTGGCAACTCCAGTGCACAAAGGATTTGTGGATCTTGAGGGAGAATGGTTTAGGTTTCTTCAGAGAAGAAACTATAATTTTCTCTAGTCCATATGCCTTAAATATTCCCTCAAAATCCATAAAACTGTCTCTCTCCATTAATATTTATATTGGCTCTATCTAAATTACACAAAAGCAGGGAATTAATCTGAATTGACACAAAGCAGGGAACAGGCAGCCACTTTTGCTAGATAATTTCAAGAACTCTTCTATCGAATGTTGCTCAGAATGATCCTGAAAGCAGCTACACCTCAGCCACAATGACTCTCATGGTTCTAGTTCATCATCTTCCCCTACAGGACAGCTCACTGAATGAAGTTTCTCATGTTTGTGTGGAAAACAAGAGGAACATTTTCCTGCAATCTTTAGACCTATGGTAAAATTGGAAGATGGCAATATTGTTGTTTTGAGTAGAACAACCCTTCATTTTGCTTGAATGGCCTGAGTTGGGTAGGATGTTTGGAATCCCAACTCCTGCCCATAAATGTCAACAGTGGTCACAGGTGTTGAGACCACCCAACATGCCTCCACTTTTCAGTCTCCTTTTGGACAGAAGTGTTGTCCCTAATGAGTGTTGAGACCCACCCAAGTCATGTTGGTAATTTTAAGAGATTCCATTTTAGAGATAGGAGAAGCTGACAGTCTTAAAAATTAATATGCTAAGAAAAGCATTTTTGTAAATTTAACAAAAGCAATAAAATTTATAGCTAGAGTTAATATAGGTTTTTCATCTTCATTTGATCTACACTTCCAGTGAAGAATACTATCTACATCAGGCAAATAGAAGGATTCCATAGTCCCACAGACTCCAACATGTTGTAGACTCAAGAAACAGAAGAACTGAACTCACTCAGCAATTTCTACTCAACAAAAGCTCAACATCCTAAATGAGAGCTCTGGGGAGCAGAAGGTCAACGACCATGTATAAACTTTTGGAAAAACTTACCTTTACGAGCAAATATGTAGACTGAGAGGCAAAGGACAGAGGTTAAGGAGAATTATGAAGGACAAAAGGGAAAAGGTAGGGACCAAGATAATCTTGGAAATCAACCTGAAATTCCGACTCCTCATTGCCTCAATTCTAAATTTAATTACTGTACTCATCTAAAGGAAGCTATAGAAGCTTAGCCAAGGAGTCAGCTGAGATTCTGACATTGCAGGGCGGTATAGGTTATAGCTAACCTTTGCTGGTTTTAGTCGGTTCTGAGCACATATTTCCAGTCTTCTTCTTTTTTCTTGAGATGGGTACACATTTTCGGTCAAATGTAACAGGACTATATTGAGGGAGGCTGTTGAATTTCTTTTCAAATTCTTCATCCAGCTTTGTTGAGCTATTAAAATGGGGAGAAAGGAACCAATCAACATATGACCAAATATTTAAGCACAAAATTATGAGATATCCATATTTGAAAATGTCCTAGAAATTAGGACATCTTAAATAAATTCTGTGCAAAGAAGAAAACACCTTTTTGGAAATGTTTGAAATTTACCCAGTTTGTTTTTTTAAAATAAACTCACATGATAGGTTATTATGTTAGAAAAGTGGGAACATCATTTAAAAATATTAGAATATGCATAAAATGAGGAATTTGCCATTCTCTCCATTGGCAGGAGAATTTCTCCTGACCTTCAATACAAAGTATACTTTATTCAGACATTTTCTCATTGTAATAATTCATATACATGCATATGCACTGACAAATTCATTGGTAATATGATATACTGGGAATTTTGTAAGATGAGTTTTTAAAAAATGTTTATCAAGTAGTGCTTAGTTAAAACATACACAAATAAAAAGCATACATTTGAATATTAGGGGAAAATTCGGGAGATTTAACCAGATGAAGATAAAACACTCAATGAGCAAAGTAAAGCCAGTTTTCAATGAACACTGGCAGAGAGGCAACACCACTTTAACTTAAACTACAAATGACTTTAAAAATGCCCCTGGCAGTATTGGGAAATCTCTGGACTGGCTTTGACTGCGAGGTCTCTCAGCAATGGTAGCATGCCTGCTGTACCCTAGGCTGGCTGTTAGCTTTCATTTAGTGAGACTCATTAACTAAGGTACATTCTAGACAGATGGAAGAAGCTGCAGAAGAACTGCTGTGCTTGGTAGACAGGAAATGGAGCATGTATGAGGAAGGGAAGCATAGCTTTGGTACAACCTTTAAGAAGCTAACACACACACACCATACACGCTAATCTCTTTTTAGGAGATTTTCAAAGATTGTTTCATTTATCACTCTCACATAACTCAGCAGTTTCTTTTATTTTGGTGTGGGGGCAGTACTGGGGTTTTAACTCAAGGCCTTGTGATTGTTAGGCAGGCACTCTACCATTTGAGCCACATCCCCAGCCCAACTCAGCAGTTTCTAAGAGAAGTAGCAGAGACAGTTTTGTTGAGGAGTCTTAGTGCTTTCGTTATTCCCCTAGTACTTCTTTAAGACTTGCTTCTTTCTTGGCACTGAGACTTGCAAGGCATCAGCAGTTCTTCCAGAAGATACAGAGCATTGGTCTAGATACTCAAAGATCACTTTTTTTTTTTTTAAAAGGTAATTCTACATTTGAAAGTATCATTTGACAGTGACAAATGGGAGGATTTTCATGTGATTATTTAGGCCTAATGTAAGCAAAAGTAATTTAAAGTACTTTGGACTTTTAAAATATTAGAAATGAAATATATAAAATGACAAAATAATATTTCAACATAAATAATCTTAGAAAGCCAGCACCCTGAGAAATAATTTTCACCCTCCCATTTTATGATGATCTAGAGTCTTAGAATTAACTGAAAGTTAAAGCACTGTAATTTCCAAGAAAAATACTACCTCATTCCATAAATAGAAATGCAAATATTATGAGAAAAACAAAATACACTCAATTCGTAAAATTTGCATACCTCTAAACAGGCTCATGAAAAATATGGAGAATTATTTCCTCTCCATGTATTCTTTACAAATTGGGTTAATGAGAAATCTCAAAGAATTTTCAAAACAGTACACCTGAATATGCAGATATTTTCCTTACCAATATAAAGTACTGCATCTCCTAACTTACTAACAAAATGCTTTATATTGAGATTGTTATTAAGAGTCCGTGGCATAACATTAATTGTGAAATAATTCTTAAATGACTTTATCTTGATATGTGTCATTGCTTACTTAAGTAATACATGTCAATGCATAATGTTCTCTGTACCAGGAGAATACTCAACACAATTTTTTTTTTCTGCAGCAACAGAAGATAGTTTAAAACAAGTCAAGGTTACAGGTAGAAGCATAATTTTATTTACTTCATATTTCCCACCTGTCATATTGTTTTATAAACATATGTACATACATTTAGAAATCTTATAAAGAAATATAAACGTAGTATAATACCTATAGTATACAAAATGGGCAAGATGTAAATATACTAGTAATATCCATCCTAAGTTTCAGATGGCAAAGTGGGTTCTAGCAATATTAAGTGATGTACAATATCAGACTATTGCTATGTGGTGGGCATCAATTCAAACTCAGGCCCAAGTTTAAAATCTATATATAATTTGCAGTTGGACTATGATTACAGGCACTTACCCAAGGAGCGAGTCTTCCTTTGGCTTTGTCTTCTTGAACTTTTTGCTCCCACTGGTCCCACTCTGGTTAAATGTCCAGCTTTCTTCACTCCAACACCCTTCATGATCAGAGGAGTTTCCTTTTCCTGAACTTCGTTTACCTAAAGATGTTCAACAAAAAGAATACGCTCAAAATATTTGGTTGGGGGAGATCATTTCAGCTGCTTTGCAAGAGACTTCTTGACTCCTAGATACCATTTTCATGATGCTATGATGATTCATGTGGGGCTACCTTTAATAGTGGAATCTGTGAAACTGTGACTTATAACCTGTGAGATAAATAGTTGTGTTATAATTCAACAGGTACTACAGGGCTCAAGACACAGTCTAATTGCTGCCTTGTTTTCCATTTGAGAATCAGCTTAAAGCATGTGAGTCCTTTGCTGATGATAGTATTAATTCTAATTCCCCCAAAACTCATTGTAGTGAGTAACTATTTTACTATCAAGCTATTTTTCATTCAGGGCTTATTAGACTTAAGACTCACACATCTCTTGTTGAAATATAGCTTGGCAAGAGCTAGTCCCATGGCCAGATGCTATATTCTAAAATAGATGAATTCATAGGAAACAGTCTATGGAATAAAGGTGTACATGTTAACTAGTTTCTGAACAAGGTCATGTTTTAAAGAATACTTTAATTACAGTTTTGATTACCTAATGGAGAGGGCTAGGTAGAGTATTTGCTTCTGGATCTACAGAGCAAGATTCTACCAAATTTATCCACTTCCATCCATTTTTAAAACCAAACCAAAAGCACCATTCAATACTAATCCTTTAAAACAATGAGCCAACCTATAGCAGTAAAACAAAAATGTTTATATACTTTGAGTATCTATGTCCTGAGAACGACCTATAAAATAGTACACTCTCTCCTTAATGGTGCTAGAAAACAAATAGGTAACTGACAAATGAATATAATCTAAACCATACAAATGTATGATACAAGAACCACACAAATGTAAGATACTATTTTGATACCATATTGTTCTTTATGGTGGCTCTTTTCAATAGGTCTAAAGGAAAAATTCTGCTTGATTTTAATATTCTTTTCAGGTTTGTAGAAATCACTTACCTCTATCAACATTAGCTCTCAGAGAAGTAAGCATGCCCTCTGACACCAGGGTTTTATAAAGAGCACCTTTGCAAGACCTCTCAGATTTCCTGGAGCCACCAGTCTCTATTTTTCTGTGACAGTCACTATCCTCAGGCTTGGCCTGTCCTGCTAGGTTGGGTGGTAGTGCACCCTCTGTGGGGGTCAATGGTTCTGCTTTTATACCCTCTGGCACCTCACCAGAAATGTTCTTGCTGGCAGAAATACTAATGAAATCTGGAGGTCTTGACTCTTTGGTGATGTCTGAGGATTTCTCTTTTGTGATTTTCTTCTCTCTTGATTTCACTTTTTTCTTTGGTGGCTTAGCATCCAACATGCTTCCCTTGCCACTTGAAGATGTGCGGACCTTCTTTTTTGGGGTTTCTCCAAGTTTGTCAACACCCCAATCTCCTTTTGCAACAGCTTCAATGGTGTATATGACACTCTCAATGTCAGATTCTGAAGACTGTCTCTTCTTGCATGTCTTCTTAGGTGTGGATTTATCATTTCCATGTCGATCTGTTTTGCTTTTCTTCTTTTTCTTTTTCAGCTTTTCTGGTTTGTTTAGTGCAGTGGGATCCTCAATGATCATAATTCCATGAGGATGGCACATGTCCTTTTTACCCGGAACGTCACTTATTATTATTTTGCTACTGGCAGAGTATGAAAAATCAGGGAAGTGACTATATTTTTGATCTTCCTGTAATTCTTCCTTTCTAATTTCTTTGGGGTCTTCCATTTTTATAGCCATTTCATCAGCCATTTGTAGCTCTTCAAAATTTCTCAATTCCTTAGACTCTCTTCCATTGTCCTTAGCTGATTTTTCAAATTCTGCTTCCTTTTGCAACCCAGTGTCATCTGCTTTGTCCATTTTTATTTCTCTTCCTTCCTTTTCCTTTTCCAATTCTATAATTCTTCCATCATCTGATTCTCTTGCTTTTATGAGCTTTGTTTCTTCCATTTTCATCCCCTCTGATGCCAGGCACATCTAAACAGTTAAAAAACGGTGAAAAGCACAAAAATATGCTCATTAATCTATAATCAAAATGAGTTTTAACTTTTCAATCATATTCCCTTTAAATAATAAAACAAAGTCCAAAATTTGTAGTATTTGGCCCACTTCTGCCAAACTAACTTAAAATGACTCAAGTTAAAAAAAGGATGTAGGCAATGTGATATACTCAGTCTTTAGTCAAGCATATATCTGACTTGTCATTTTCTAGCATCACAAGAAGTTTTTCTAGGAAAACAAGATTTGGTAAGAAGATGGGATTCATAGGTGAAAGACCAAATTTGAGTCTCAGTTATACTGCACGTTAATTTTGTGGTACTGAATGAGTCACTTATTCCTTACTTCCCCATGACTTTATAAGATGGGAGCAAGCCTATCTGAGAGGATTTTGTGAAGTTTAAGTAATAAGATGTGCTTAGTACCTAACTGTCCCAAAATTCTGTTCAAATGTTTGCCACACATCCCTCAAATAAGGAAAATAGCAGTAACTTCTACCTAGAAATTAGAAATGATATGATGATTCATTAAACTAGAAAGATTCTGATTAATGAACAAACATTACAGGCCACAAATGCTGACATACAATTCTAAAACCACAAAAGCTCTGAAAATAGAGTTTTGTTTTGTTTTGATCTCATTTAGCAGCAAATGTGATCTGATCTGAATTTACTTGGCTGCAGATTCTGACCTGAACCAACTGAAACAGTTTAATGTCAAACAATTTATCTCACTTACTGTGACCTTTCGTATTTTTTTTGCTATCAGAATATTCATGCATTTGAATATGCACTGGAGAAATAACATAGATTAAGATACATTTACTACATTATGTTTTTAGAATCTGAAAAATTGTGAATACCAATACACAGATGGTCCCCAATTTAGTTAACTTCTAAAATTTTTCATCCAAAATTCCCAAATTTCACAGAAAGGACATTCAAAGGGAAGGATGTCATCTTCCTCTCCAGCTCTCAGGCACTTTGAAACCTCACTCTAAAACTGTTTTTTAGAAGGGAAAACTGTAGCTTATTGCTAAATTAATTTGCAGTATCTGGGTTTTCATTCATAAACACCGGACTGCAAGCTCCCAAATGCCAGGCCTCAAGAAAGACACCAAACATACAAAAATCAATACAGTCAGGTTTCTGCTTTTGAGGAATTTATCAAGAGGAGGAGGATGTTAATTTGGTCAAGAGCAACCCAGGAAGTCTTAGTCATAACATAATTACTTTACTTTAGCAACTCAGAGGGGAAAGAACATTGGAACTTGCTGAGTCAGTACAAAATCAAGCTGATTGGTTTTAAAAATCATCTTAACAAATGGCAGGTTGTCAGAGATCATTAACATTCTTATATAAAGTTCATTTTTAAAGGTAGGTAATACATTCAATTAAATATAAGATACTCTTTTGTCTCTTTTTTTTTTCTTTAGCATTTTCAATGCATCCCAAACCTTTCTGAAGAATTACATTATTAGTTAGACTGGGAAGAAACTGGAGAAGGGGTGGGAGAAGGAAGATACTGCATTTAAAAAAAATGAACATGACAAGAATGCTCAGCCCTTTGGAGCATTCCTAGGGAAGATCTGAAATATGAAGGATTCACAACAGAGCTGTCTTTTTCAGGAACTGAAGAAAAGCTACCTCTTAGAACTTAGTAACTATGAAGACTGAGAACTTCCCTTTAATCATAACCCAACTAGAAATAAACCCAAAGCAAAATGTTATCTTAAGTTAATTTTAAAACACTAACATATTCAATCTTCTGCATGTTTTGTTCTTATGGAAGAAATTGTTTTCATATCAATTTTGAAATAATTTGTTTTTCTTCTCAACTATCCTAGCCCGTCATGAATAACTATCTCATGTTGGCAGAAAGACTAGTTTTAGAAAGAAGGCCAGAATAGTATTGTCAAGTTAAGTTTTATGTTTTGTCAAGCACTGCCACTCTGGTGGCCTTTAATAGGTCATTTCAGGGACCTTTTATCATGTAGGTGCTAGTTTTTACAGTGCTATGGTGACATTTTCATTTGCACAAGTTCAACTTAGCAAACCTAATAATACTTTGTAAATTCTATTCTCTTCTTCCATATTTCAAAATGATTCTCCTCATCACCCAACAGGATTCTAGAGCTAGGAATGAAATGGAACACATGCAGACATTCACTCTGGGGACATATTCTGAAAAACAGCATAATATTTCTTGTGTATGTAATTACACCAAACACAAGTCATGCTCTTCTTCCTCTTTCAGGCTCTGAAAACTTTCTTTACTAGTAGAGTATGTTAATCCTAAATTATAAGAAAAACAATTATATTACTGGAGATGTAATTATACAAGTAAAACAAACACCTTGGAATTTAAAAACACAGATGACACTAACCAAAAACCAAATCAGATTCTGAGAGTTGGGTGTTACGCTAGAGGTTGTCTAATATGACCTTTTTCTAAAAGCAGGAATTCACTATACTAGTCTTCTGAGAATTAATCAACATCTGTACAAAGACAGTGAACATGTCACTCTATCAGAGAGAAAGTCTATTTGATATTTTTTAATATTAGGAAAATTTGATCACCTTTTTAGTCTTAGTTACTGAAGGGAGGATAGGCTTTACTGAAAGAGCTGGGTAGCACAGCTTGCTTAGAGCCACACTGAAAGCTATGAAACTCAGACTTGAACCCAAAGGAACAAACAGAAGCTGAGAAAAGGGGTACAATTGGGGTACTGTGAGGCAAAAGAGAATGAATATATACAAACATGACTTGTTAATGAAATAAAGCTTTATAAGGGTTGAAGAAAATGGATACTTCAATTGTTTCACACACCAAATGAGAAATAGAATTACTTGTTAGTTGGTAGGGAAGGTAGGTTGTGGGGAGCAGATTATGAGAAGCCTATGAGAACGTGTCATAAGCACAGCTGTGCTCAATGATCTACAGGCTGAGTTTGGCATGGCCTCAGCTGCAAAAGAGAGGGAAGTGAAAAATTCAGCATAGCTGCTTTCCTAAGTTGTTAACCTTCAGAGAAGTAGAACGCAGGTTTCTCTTGTTACAATGTCATGCCCCCCCCCAACCGCAACTGTTGCTCCACCTCCTTGTTTACCACTGGATATAAAAGACTTGCTGAAGGAAGATGTGGAGGTTTTTTGATGGAGGATTTTTTGATGGAGGATGGATTGATTGGTGGGCTGCTTGCAAGAATGATGGAGCTGGTGGGCCGCTGAGTTATGCTAGAGATTAAAGGGAACATGGAACAGCGCAAGTCTGCACCGAGAACTTCATACATAGGCTTTAGAAAACCTAAACTAAAGAAAAGCTAAAGAGAACATGGGACAGTGCAAGTCTAAGGACCGACACTTTAGGAGTTATGCTAATGCAGTTTCTAGCCGTGGCTGCTGTTGTTTGTCTGCAACAAACAACAAAGACTTTGAGAGTAAAGGGAACATGGGACAGTGCAAATCTGAGAACTTAGACTTTAAGAAAGCAAAAGAGAAAACATGGAATAGTGTGAGTCTAAGGAAAGAGACTTAAAAGAATAGAAAAGAAGCAAGATTTTAAAGAATTGTAAAGGAGTAAGGCCTTAAAGAATAGAGAAGAAAAGAGAAATAAAAGAAGAGTCAACACACATGGCCCCAACTTTCTGCATATCTATCTTCTATCTTTTGTCCCTTCTGCATCTCTAGTCACCCCCAGTTAGGACAGTTAGGTTGGTAGAACAGGAGTGTGAAAAAGCTCCCTCCAGTAGCTATTTTTTAATGGGTCCCAGAGAAGACTTTTTTTTCTCTTTATACATAACACATTTTTTGGCTTGTATTGGGCTTGTGCTCAATTAAAATCCCAAATTTCTTTTTTGCCTGCATAATATCCTGGAAAGCTTGGCCTCTACTATTTTATATTTTTGTAATTGATTTATGTTTTGTACCTAGAGGCAAGAATTCCCATTCTTCCTTATAAACTTACTCTTTCAAAACTTGAATTATCTTCCACTTTATATTAAACACACTTTATAGAGCTGCTTTTTTGTGTCTCTGTCTGTATCTTTGGTAGCAATGTTGAGTAGTACATACGCAAGTATGGAGCCTTTCAGCAAACCTCCTGATTCCTTGCATCAGATATTTTTTGAACATTTATAAACTTCAGCAATCTAAGAATGCTTTGTAATCCAGTGTAAACTCCCATTTTGTTCAGAGGGATATTATGATGTTATCTGTTATCTGTCAAAAGACTTCCTGAAATTAGAATACAGTATGCCAACAGCATTCTCTTAGCTTGTTTTTATAATCAACCATAATAACAAACAGAAGATGAGGCTGGCTTACTAGTCAGGATCTAACTATGCGAGCAGAAACACCTTAAACCATAACTAGCAGAGGGAATTTAATGCAGGGAATAGATTTGTTACATAGGTCATGGATGACTAAGACACCTGGACAGGAAGTGGTGAGAGAACCCAGAGATTAGCAATAGCAGGGAGATATGGTAGAGAAAAGGGGTAAAGAATGTTCATGAACCCAGGGGCAGGTGCCTAGCGGAAGAAGGAAGCAGAGTGGGCCTATCTGGAGGGAATGGGAAAATGGCAGAAATGCTATTTTTGCTTTGCCCTGACATCTTCTCACCTCTTCTCTATATACCCTTGCCTGTTTTCTCCTCCAGTTACCTAATTTCTCACCAGTGTCTACCACTGGCTGAATCCAGATAAAAGCTGAGGACAAAGATGCAGAGGAAAGGTAGTCAACAGCCATTTGGCATATAAGACAGAAACAGAGCACAATGACCTTTAGGAAAACTCTGGTAATTCCCAGATTTCATCTTCTTTTTTATGAGTTCAAACATTATTAGAATAATTTCAAAAGTTTTTAGGAAAAAATATCCTACATTGTAGGAATCGTGCTTATTCTTTTCGAAAATTAGAATGAAGATTTGAAGATTTTCCATGTTTGTTCTTAATGAGTTCTTCCATAACTTGTCAAAGATTG